GGCTTTTCTGATGGACCTCAAAACCAAAGACCTACATTTAATCCGGCAAGGCCTAAAGAAAATGGAAAAATTACTAAGAAGGGTATTTATAGAATTTCATTTGAAACTCCTCATTTTGAAAAATTACCGGGAAATATTTACTTTCTTCCTAAAGTTTTTAGTATATCTGTATTTTTTATCTTTTGTTGATAAAATAATTGACTAGATCTGCACTCTTTTTTTTATATCATTCTTCCATTTTTGTTGGTTTGTGAATAAATTCATAAGAGTATGTGTTTGCTTTTGTATTACTATTAGAATTTTATTAAATTTAGATACTTTAATTTAATGTATCTAATCTCTGGCAATGGCTGTAACAGTGCCTTGAATCTTGTGGCATTCTCCAAGATCATGAAGAAATATGACAAGGTCAATCAAATACCTAAAAATTTTATGATTTCTGATTTTGGATCCTAAGATCCATTTAATCAACATAAGACATAAGTTTTATTAACTCTATGCATGACTCATTTAGAAAAGGAGTTAATATCTAAACAAAGGAAAATGATACTCACTCACCCAGAGCCATACAAACACAACCATATGTAGAAACCCCCCCCCCCCCCCCCCCCCCCTCCCCCCCCAAAAAAAAAAAGAACCCAAAATTTAAAAAAAAAGCAAAAAAAAAAATCACACTATGCAATGCCAAGCAATAAACCTGTAGAAATAAAGAATAATACATTTGATGGATGATTTGCCACATTGATTTCTTGTTCTAACATTTGGCTGAATGAAAGTAAAACCTAGAGTTAGCTACTCTCATCACCATCAGAGCCTCATCCTAAGTACTTGGGGTCGGTTAAGTTAGCTTCTCTATGAAATGAATTTTATTAAGTAATTAATATGTCCTATTGTTCTTGGAAACTCTGACTGATCTTTTTCCACATGGAATTCATGCTTTGGTAATGCAAATTGTCTAAGAGAGTTTAACCTTAAAATACTGCAACTAAACTATATGATTTTGTTTCACTACAGAAAGCAGAAAAGCACATGCCACAGTCTTACTTGGTGATGGCGGATAGGTCTTACCTTGGCAGTTTTGAGGAGGTTTGGTTTCATATTTTGAGAGATACAAAGATAATACAAATTTACTTTTACTCTTGGAGATGTCACTAAAATTTTCTAATGAACTTATAGCTTATCTTTCTATTTTTTTCTTTTTTATCATAATTTTCTTTCATTAGTGTTTCTCAAATTATCTTTGTACTTAAACTTGTCCCTGGTATGTGGACTAATTCACCTTCTCTTCTTCCAGGTTATCAGACTTGTGGAAAGGGTCGAGGCTACCTTCATCAAGCACTTTGCAAATTCAAATCGTGCAAAAGGGATGACGGCCTTAAGACCACAAGCCAAGAAAGAAAATCATAAAATAATGGGATATTGCAACTTGCGGGCTTTAGTTGCACGTATACATAAATATTTTTTGTATTGACTAATTTTTGAAATTTTGGAGATATGTAAATACCCCTTTTTGAAATTGACTTTCGGGGTTATACGACTATTGAATAGTCATATAATTTTGGGGGCATGTAAAGGACCTATTTATAAGGGCATGTAAAGGACCTAATTATGGGGGCATGTAAAGGACCTATTTTGGGGTCATGTAAAGGACCTATTTTTGGGGTCATGTAAAGGAGCTCTTTATGGATAGTGGAATTCATTTATAATGAAATGTGATGTAAAATACTTTTTTGTAAAGGCCTTATTGTTTCATGTATGACATTTAAATATGCAATGTGGGTTTATATTGATAGTGAAATGTATTTATATCCAGATAATTCCCACTTTACTTCATTTTGTATGTCGAGTGTTTGATAGCAGGTTTGTGACAGTGCCAGAGCCGTGACAAACTTTGCCCTCTCTTCGGCACTCTTAGCACTTACTAGAACCTTCTTGGAGGGTTTCCAAAATAGAAGGTCTGTGACGGCCCTTGCCCTCTCTTTTGGCACTCTCGACACCGACCAAAACCCTCCTGGAGGGTTTCCATACATCACGGACATAGAGCAGCCAAGCATATTTATGCAACTTTGCTAGCGAGATAGGCTGTGCGCACAATGCATCTCATTATAAAGCAAAGGAAAAAGCCTCACTGAAAACTCTCTACCTTCCTAGGGCCATATCCATATCAAGACATGAAACGAGAGCAACACCAAAACATAATGTGGTATCAATGTAACCAACCCAACCTGATACCATATAGAAATAAGCAAATGTCAAACCTAAAGATCTAGTATTCATTGCCTTCACAAACAAATTAAAGCTCAAAAGTAATACAAAAACAACCACTCTTTCATTATCAAAAGAACCAACAAACACCATATACACATCAGATTGCTGCAAAAGTACAATTACTAGTTCATAAAAACTTGCCAAATTTACTACTAGCTCCAAATTTACTACTAGCTCCAAATTTACAAAAAGGCGACTTAAAAAAATTAGTAACGCTGCTCGACATGTACAATGCTACACTAATTGTGGCCCCTACATATTGGCTTAAGTTTCTGCACCCTGCTTCATAATATCCCCTTGCCTTTCTCAAGGGGACCATCTACATTGCTCCGGCCACTATTTGGATCGCTGCTCTTAACTCCATGATCTAGGCATCTTCAATGGCGCAACATCCATCCAACCTCCTCCGTTAGCGCTAGAGTAGGAGTGGGCTATGTCGGGATCTGATTCGCTGATCGGGAGCTACTCTCTCTAATATCCCCAAGGACATCATCATTAGCATTGTCATCTTAGGGCTCCTTTAATGGGATTGGACAATACTTTGATAGGTAGTCGAATGCCTCAATGGCCAAATCCCAATCATTGGATCTGATACCATCTTTCAAGAACTTTGTGCCACTACATTATAAAACCGAATGTTAATTGGCAAAAATAACACAGCAATGAATACTACATCAATTAAGCATTAATGATGGGATGCGGTGTAGGTGGCCTACCACATTGTCTTCACCCTGGTAACCTCAAGGCTTGTATTTTGGAGTCCTTGGTTGGTCCTGCCCAACCTTCCTAAAGGCATGAGTAAGAGTCATGTCCAACCCTCCTAATCTCACCAGAAGATAATAGAGTTCCTCTATATTGGGAGGTTGCACTTCAAAAAGTGCAACATTAAAAAAAAAAAAAAAAGTTCATTTTACTTTTATACATAAAATGAGACCAGAAAATCATGTTATTCTAAATCCAAGTAAATTTGCCTAAATTATTTTTTTTGAGAAAGTAAATTGCCTAACAATTGTAATATACATTAGAAATAAATCCAAGATCATCCGTTCAAAAAGTAGCTAAAAGCTTACAAATGAAACTAATTATGGCAATGAAAACCTAGAAACTATTTACTGAAGTCAAAATTTCTAAATTTAGGGAAAGAAAAAAGTATCATATGCATACAAATAAATAGTGTATTTTTTTTTGAGGAACCAACAAAGAGTGTACTATTTGTGAGAGAGAGAGAGAGAGAGAGAGAGAGAGAGAGAGAGAGAGAGAAAGAAA